AACAGACAAACCTTCAAGTTTAGCGTTTAAATGAAGAAATAAAAAAAAAACCAATAAGACAAAATGTAGAGTATAATAATGATAAAATTAAATACAATTAAAAATGGAAGATAAACCAGACTAAATCATATTTTACAGGAATATTAAGGTGTGCGGCTTTTAAAAAAATTATTTACAGAAAAAATTAATTGCAAAATGTATTATAAGGTTGGTTCAGAATGCATTCTTGAAGCAGATCCATTTCCTATATGATCACTATAGGAAAATAATTGATGATTGAAGCTGACTTAGAAAAAAAAGCAACGTAGAAAAAAGCACCCTGATATCATTGTTGATGCTGATCAAATGATGTCAGGGAAAAATTCCTAGTGGCAGGATGTCATGGCCCATAAATAAGTTCAATGACAAAGAAGTGACCAGTCATTTGGAGCTAATAGTGTCCCTACCAAGCCACAACATGCAATGCCAGAGAGATACCCCACAACTGTGTCAGATGATGAACAATCCCTACCTAATATGCCTAAATATCTGTGGGCCATATTATTGTTTTTATTATTTATAGGGCACCAACATTTTCCAGAGCTTATGGGATTTTCCCCTAAAATTGCAAGAAACATACATATAACATGCATGTCATACACAGCATAATCAAATACCAATTCATCAAAAACTTGTTGGTAGTAGTCTTTATGTGTTTTTTTTTTTTGTGTGGTTAGGCTGTGTTTCAGATGTGTCAACTGTGTGTATGAGGGTGACTGACTTCTGAGGGTGAGTGTGACAGGGTGAAGGTGATGAGTGGGGCAGGTGAAGCCAAGGTGACTGTGGAAGAGTGAGTAAGGAGGTCAGTGTGGGGCTAATGGCTAAATATATGGGAAATATGTGTAGGGTGTGTTTCTGTTTTCAGCCTCCCCAAACACTGTAATGTATTTTTACTAAAAAATAAATTTAAAAAAATTCACATTTGCTCCCTGTGAAGGGAGGGGGGTAATACTTTTTTTTTTTAATGATCCAGTTGATTCCCTGTTGGTCAAGTGGGCTGTAGGGTAGGTCTGTACCTTTGCTAGGTGCATCAAGGTCTGTGTTTGGGAGGGATCATTGGCAGAAACCTAGTCCCCATCGGAGGAGCAGACCTGCAAAAAGAGCAGCTCAAAACTAACCTCAAATTAAAAATTACATTTGTTTGCTTAACACAAATTTCTCTTGCATTTTTAAAAATCATGTATACATGAGTACTCAAGTGAAGGGGATAAATAAAACTGCAATTATGTAATAGAAACTTGTTTCGTATTTCGTAAGATTTAACATAGTCGTTGATAACCATCTGTTTTCATATTTTCAAAAATTAGACATCCATAAAAATACATACATACATAACCTGTTGTAAGCTTCGATCTGTGATCTGTCCCATACGAATTTCTTGATTTCAATCCTGGGCGGTGAGTGGTGGTTGAGTGAAGCAGAAGGTGCTAAAATATAACCTATTTCCCAGCATTCCATATTTTGAAAGAGAGACTATTGCATTCTGGGAGGTATTCGTGGGGAGCAGGGCTATTCTGGGATATTTGTTTTTTCCTGACCTATTGACCTATCTATGCAAATTAACATGTACATTACTTTTATTGTAGTTTACAAACCCGTTGCTGTGAGTTATAATCCTGTGAAGCTATGTTATGCATTCAAACAGGCCAAAATTGTGGAGATCCTAGAAAAGAGGGGCAGAGGGATTTCGGACCAAAATTAGCACTTTCCGCTTAAAGATCGGCAGGTGGGTAGTTTGATACAATGTTTAGTCCTGGTCTACTCAATTTATGGTGCCAAATTGTGGAGGACGTTTGACTGTGCTGTACATGTTCCTTATCATATCTTTCCCATCAGAATATCAGAAGAGAGTGGGGATCTTCGGTTATTGGAAAGGTATAACAACAGGAAGGAGTGTGATTTAAGTTGAAGACCTGACTGTAGGGTCATCTAAACACATATGGTGTATCAAACTCACATTTTTATTGTATTACAGAAAACAAATGTTCTAGCAGAAACATGACTGGCATTGGTCATCCATGATTAATTATATACAGTGGCGGATCCAGAGCCTGATCTCGGGAGGGGCACTTGTAGATTATTTAAAGAAATAATCCAGACACAATAACTACTACAGCTCAGTGTAGTGGTTATGGTGTCAATAGTGCCGGGACCCGCTCCTAGAGTAAGTAGTCAAACCGTTTAAGAACAGTTTGACAACTTATCTGAGGTCTGCTGGGAAATGGGGCGGTAGTAGGGCATAGGAGCAGTGGTGTGTGTGAGTGGTGCAATGTGTAAGGGGTGCAGTGTGTGAGGGGGACAGTGTGTGAGCAGTGTGTGTGTGTGTGAAGGTTGTAGTGTGTGAGTAGGGGGGGCAGTGTATGTCAGGGATGCAGTGTATGTGTGGGACAGTATGTGTGTGTAACAGTTGCAGTGTGTGTGTGAATGTGGGCAATGTGTGTGTATGGGACGGCAGTGTATGGGGGGCAGTGTGTGTGTATGGGGGGCAGTATGTGTGTATGAGGGCAGTATGTGTGCATGGGGGGCAGTATGTGTGTATGGGGGGGGCAGTATGTGTGTATGGGGGCTATGTGTGTGTGTGTGTGTGTTAAGGGTAGGGGGGGCTTTTTTTAATATATATCTTTATTTAATTTAAAAAAAAAAAAATCCCCTCCCTTCTTACCTTTACTGGGGAGGAGGGGGGACATATTTCGATCCCTGGTGGTCCCAGTGGTGATTCCCTGGTGGTCCCAGTGGGGAGAGTGAACTCTAGCCCGCGCTCCCGGGCTAGAGTTCACTCTCGCGAGATTTGGAGCGTTGCCGTGGTAACCGCGGCAAATCTCCAAATCTCGAGAGAGGAGGACCCGGAGGAGCTGCAGACTGAGCTCCCGGGTCCTCCCTCTCCCTCCGCCGCCGGCTGCCAGCACAGTGCCTGCGGACCGGGGAGGGAGATCTGTGATCTCCCCTCCGGTCCGCAGGCACATTGCAGGGCTAGCACCTGCATGTGCTGGCAGGGGAGGGAGAGGGAGACCGGCGGATTTCTCGGGGGGGGCAATTGCCCCGTTGCCCCCCCCCTGGATCCGCCAGTGATTATATATTGTTTTTAACTGCTACTGTATTTGCATATTGGTCACTACAAATAAAAAACAAATACTTTGTAAATATAGTACAATAAGGATTAAAGTACTTTGCTCTATAGTTCGAGATAACATTTTAGAATGTTGAACAATTATATTCCAGTTTCACAACCAACCCCCTTAACAAACTACCAAATCAAAGTTATTCCTCTGCTGATGAACACACTTAGGTGTATAAGATGTCCCTGTAAGCTGATAAATTATATTTCTCCTTATAATACATTGAGTTGCTTTGAGCAGTTAGAAACATCCTACGACAGCACTTGCTTTAGGCTGTATGAGACGCATTAGCCATTTACGTTCAAGGTATTTCCATATCTTAGCATTCATACAGTGCTCCGTTGTATCCCAATTTTCACCGGCTCATTTAAACTCCCTCTAGTCACAGCTGGTAGCTAACGGCTGTTGCCTCTCCGCATGCTGTCACAGGACACATTCCAACCGAACCCAATACCATCCTTTGTTTTGCCTCTCAGTGCCTGCTAGTCACAGTGTGTTTCCCACTGGGCTAGTTAGTCCCCAAGGGTACATCTGTTGCAAAGATCAGTTCACTTGCCCAAAGCAAACAGATGAACAGCAAAATGAACGCCTGCTGATTCTCTGTCTGTAGAACTGAGCAACTCCGTCCAGCAGTAAGAATCACAGAAGGTCTGTGTGAGGTGTGAATTATGCCCAACCCTTATGTCTCAGGATGTTAGCCAGTTCTCAACATAATAAAAAAATAACTCTTCTTGATATATGTGCTAAGGATGTCTATTTGAGAGGAAGAGATGAAATGATAATATCCAACGCATGACTTATTTATATAATGCCTGTTCTTTATTTAGAAGTAAGGAATGCTCGAATGTTCTAAAATTCTGCGTTCTCTTCCATGTGAAAATTCATAGTTATCTCCCATTTTGTAGTACGTAAGTGGAGAGAATCCCATAAGAAACATAACCAGCATTTTAAATAAAAGAGAAAGTTAAAGTATTCGTTTTTCTATATGTCTTTCGGTTAGTTGTAGAAATGTATGAACAATGTGGGAAAAATCACAAGTTTTAGGAAGTATTGATACCCCAAATGTCGGCTCTCTTTATAACTAGGACATGTTTCAATATCAGAGCTGACAAAAGTCAGTAATCCTTAAGAAATCACTAAATTATTGTGTATTTATTAACCTTCTACATTATTTAAACAATAAGAAACAACATCCTCTATGATTAAAATGATAGATTGGGTGTATGTAGTACTTTCTAGAATCTAGATCACAATGAGTATGCTATTAAATATTTTATTCTATTTTAACAAAGTTTATTGCAAGAGCCTGTTCAATATACTTTAGTAAATGTGACTTCTCACATCTGACAAGTTGAAAAAGTTTAAATGACCGATATACTTCCATCAATCCATCCATCCATTCATTCATTTATCCATTTATCATTGCATATATTAGAATCGAACTGTAGTTCTCTATTTCAATACTTTTTCATACTAGACAACCAAATGTGATTTAAATAATTCCATTTCACTTTCTTCTCTTAAACTGTTACTTATGATTAATCCAAAATATACACACAAAAACAAGTAAAAAGTAGGCGCTAGTAATAAAATCGTCTTAGAATATAGCTATCCAAAAAATATATTATGAAGCTGCACCAAAAACAAGTGTAAAACTACTCCAAACACATATATATATACTTAAAATTATAAGGTGCACATAAAGTGTATAGTGTTAATAAAAAAATTATTATACATACATATGTCCTCTCAAATAGAAATGTACTTAAGAGAGAGACACAGAAAAAAACAAATAGTGTAAATCTGTTTTAAGAAAATAAATATAAAATATAAATGCCAAATATTGCACTCACAAAGGTAGAGCAGATAAAGCCTGCTCTAATTATAACAGCTTCTTCAAATATAGGACTGCACAGACAAAATATTCCAAAAGATATATTTATTGCCCAGCACAGCACAAGTATGTCACCTTCCTCCACATCCAGTACAGGGTTACAGAGTGTTCAGCTATATGCAGCTTAGGGTGTCGACTATTCCCTCTGTTTGTTCGCCGCCGTTATTGCCGTTTCCACTGCAGCTTCCTCAAACTTCCGGGGGGAGGGGACTTCCAAGAGTGCGTGACGTAAAATGCGTAACTTGCGTGATTACACTTTATGTGCACTTTGTATCACTTGCACTTTATTATAGTGTTTGCACTTGTGGCACTTTTTAATAATTGGGTCTTAAAGACACAGCGCACCTTATAATTTTAAGTATGTTATTTATGATTAACAAGAACATGCAAGCAGATGCCAGTCTATGTTGAATTATTCAAATACACCCTAATTTGGGCACGTCACACACTACACTTCCTAATATTGATAGGGAACAAATAGCCAGAAAAACTCGTAATACGTTGTCTCTTCCACTCTGAACCTCTCAGTGTTCATCCACAACTAACATATATGCGGTCCAGATGTTTCATAGAATCCCTAAGTTCTTTTTCAGGGCTGCACCATGGATGTATTCAGTTGGACACAATAGCAGCAACATTCTCTCTTGGATGCAATGCTGAACTTGCCACCGCAGTGGCAAGCTGATGCTCTCGCTGGCAAGTGGATTTGGAGGTGTGATGATAATAATAATAATAATAAAGTATTTAACCAGGAAAGGTACATTCAGATTACTCTGGTTTTCAAGTATGTCCTTGGGATGTTACCTTAGTCCAACATCCAGCGGTTGTTACTATTACCCAATTTAATGGTACCAATGCAGAGGGGACTCATCCAATGCATTTTCCATTTGTACTTTGTGAGGGATAAATACTACAGACCTATTTATACATCCACCAATTGTCCTCAATCAACAGACAATTCACAAATAATCTGAAATATATATCAATAAAGTTATCAGGCCCCCAAAATAAAACAATGGCAACCTATTAGTTCTAAATAATGAACCAAAACAGGGAATGGATTGATCCAGTGCATAGAGGATGCAGGAACAGAAGGCACAATAACACAAACGGAAAAAGAATTAATTGTAAACGGATCACAGGTGAACATGAAGGAACAAGTAGAATTAGATGTATTGTGCAGATAAATTTTATCACATGACAGGAGGCTTCCTATTTTGCATATCTCTCTTTACTAAACTCCACAGCAGTAAAGAAAGTAAACGTTTAACCAATCAAAATGCAATAGGGAGTAAAGTATTCCCACCAAATAGGCTCCTCCCCCTCTTTCTTTACTGCTCCATCGCAGACAGGTCAGAGTTTTGGGCTCTTCCTTTACCTTTATATGTTATTATACTATTTATGATTTTATTACTCTTATTGACCCTCCTTTTACTTTCGTCCGAACTCTAACGCAGCCATGTCACTCCTACTTCAGCGTTAAAAATGCAAACTAGGAAGCCTCCTGTCATGTGATAAAATTGAAGATTATGCTAGCGTTAGTGTACTTATAATCTTAATTTTAATAATGACAGGAGGCGAGTATTTTCCCTCCCTTCCCACCCGGGAAGAGGGAAACGTGTTCGTCTATACATTATGACGTTTCTTCCTCATCCTTATCTCACATCTGTCTCTTCACTACCTCTCCATGGGTTAGGGACAGTATCTGTTTTAATTTTGCCTCTATGTGCACATATGTTGCTAATATTACTGCGGGGTCACGATAATTGTTACAACCAGTAAGAGGTCAGAGTCTAACCCTTTTCACACTCTCATTTCAGTTTAACTTCATCAGCTTCTGGAGTTTCGGATGCTACCTTGGCAAACTACCCAGATGACTACGCTCCAGAGGACCGCCTAATATCGGACATTCACCCTTGACCGTGTTTACAGTTTGATCATTATACCACTGGATCTTCCAACTTTATACCTTCCAGATGTCTTTGGATGACTTTTCTCTATGTTCCGTTATTCTAATTTTCTCTGTTACGATGTCGCTTATGAAAGAGGAGGAGGAGCCTATTTGGTGGGAATACCTTACTCCCTATTGCATTTTGATTGGTTAAACGTTTACTTTCTTTACTGCTGTGGAGTTTAGTAAAGAGAGATATGCAAAATACTCGCCTCCTGTCATTATTAAAATTAAGATTATAAGTACACTAACGCTAGCATAATCTTCAATTGTGTAAATCTGAAGTGTGTCGACATGGGGTTGCACTAATTTCTTCTACAACTGATACTAAGTTCTGTTTCTTGTCAGGACAGCCCTAACACTCCCGTTTTATGATAAGCAGCTGAGATTTGAGAGGCTCTGTGCTAACATACCTACCTGGATTTCCTTCCAAGGTGTACATTCCAGGGAAACATTATTATTATTTCAATATTCTTAAATTATAGAATTAAACGTATCCGTTTTTTTCATGCACTCATGGTGCTTGCCAAACGGCTAGGAAATGAATAGATTGTATCACACGTGTTATTTAAATATTTAATTGACTTACACATGTCCTGTCACATGTCGTATGAGAGAGTGTGATGGGGGAGGGAGTTATGTACTGAACAAAAACTGTACAGATTATTTAACTATAGAGAAATTATACCAAACTTCTCATTTTAATATTTACTCATTTAATAGTCATTCAAATATTTAGCAACTCGGCTGCCCAAGAATTCTGCTAGCAAGTTATATTTAAGCCAGTAAACAAGTAAATGACATTGCAGTGGGAGTTCCGCCAGATTAGATATTTAGATTAATATATAAGATATAGACAAATATGTATTCCTGAGCCTATAGTGCTAAACCCACCATTTAGGTGGCATGCCTCCCCCCCCCTTAGCTCCCCTATAAAAGTTTAAAACTCACGTTATTTCCAGCGCCGTGTGGGTCTGTTGACTCAGGCTCCGCCCCTTTGTGACATCTTCAAAATGGGCGCTTTTTTGCCATAGGGATTGGCTAAAATCGGCATGGGGTGGGGCCAAATGCCATTTTGGCCAATCAGGATCTCCTCATAGAGATAAATTGAATCAATGCATCTCTTTGAGGAAAATTCATCATCTGCATGCAGAGCATGGGGGCGCTGAATGGCAGGGCTGCTTACTGTGCAGCCCTGAACCAGAAAGCACCTCCAGTGCCCATCTAAGGAGTGGCCACTTGGATGTGTCCCTAGGGGCAATGTAAACACTGCCTTTTTCTCTGAAAAGGCAGTGTTTACATGAAAATGCCTAAAGGGAGCTATTATACTCACCAAAACAACTACATTAAGCTGATCAAAACAAGGTGTCCCTTTAATCACCACATATGCATAACCAATATGTAGAGTGTATTTATGTAGCTTATTAAACAATTGTTATGTTTCCCCTACATCCAGGGTGATTAACAGCCATGTCATAATTAATAATTATATTTTGATACAATCAGTGAGTTGTAATACTGTTAAATATAGTACATTATGATTACACAATTATAAATGAATGGTGAAATACAGTAAATGACCGCGTAATCAAAGAACAACAAAGGTTACATATTACACATTCTAGAATAACAGAGTTCCATTGAACAAAATAATTTTTTCTATGTGTACTCATAGAAACATAGAGTTACAGCTAGGTAAGGTAGTGATCAGGATAATAAACTTGCTCCCTCCATTGCTGTAAAATTAATGTCTTACCTACGTAAAGCATTACAAATGGGGTAAAATCCTGCATACTTTCAAGAATATATTAAATATTATATTTAAATATACAGATTTTTTTTTTTATCACTTGCACACATGGGAAGAAGAAAAGGGGCTGTTCGTCTCGTCCATGACTCCATTTACTTTTTTGTGGGGTACTATTTGTCAAATACTCTTTTTTTCAGTTTTTGGGATATCCTTGTTCGATTATTCAGTGGGTTCCAATTGCAGGTCCCTGCTGTAATACTAAGGTCTAACAAATTACCAATAATAACGACTAATAATTCATGATGGTTTGAATAATTATGAAGTTTAGTGGTACTGAAGTTTTGATCATTTTTATTAAATGACGTTTCTCTAGTGGCATGCTTTGAACAGAATGTTCCTTTTTATCTTTAGATTGTAAGCTCACGGGTTGTCAAACTAAGCACTTTGTATAAAAGAGCTTCAGTGGCTAGATCTCAGCTTATGGCCAGGGCTCTCTTTACCTTTCGTATTGGTCTGTGTTTATTGTACATTCTCCCCTAATTATACAGCACTGCGCAATATGTTGTCGCTTTATAAATGCCAATTAAAACAATCTTACATAGGATTTTATGGAATAAAAAGGCAGTGGATAAAGGAAACTTTATACCCATGTTAAGACACTCTAATGGGTGTAACGGAATGTGGAGTGAGCCTTTAATTCCATTGCAGGCATTTTTTTCCTGCTAACTTAAAGATAAAATCAAGGGCAGATAGGACATTTTAACTTTATAGCAGTTCAGATAATAAAGACCTCTGCTAGAAGGCTAGCCTATGAATCCACTACAGTTTGTTTGGAGCAGGCAGTGCACTGTCTATTTCTATTATGTATCACCAGACTTAATGTATTATCTTTGACAAGAGAGCTTTTTTTCCTCTCCTGAAATGTGCTAAATTTGTTCATAAACAGAGGAAGTCCAACACTGAAAATTTGGGAAAGACTTCCTCTAGCGGTTATGGAACATTGACAGAAAGCTTAATTCTCAAGTAGGAAGAGTTGATAAAAAGGAAGAAAAAAACTATTAAAATAAGAATAAATGTCAATAGTAATAGATGCATAGCTCCACAGGCCCATTCTATCTTGCCATTCTCCTATTTATAGGGCGTATGATTATATTTCCATCCGGATAGAACTCTCTGTATTTTTACAGACATTTATTTCCAATCTGGACGGAAATAAGGAGCTGATAATTAGTTAATTTTAAGAACCCTTTGAGAAGATGAAGTATAGTTTTTATGTAGGGGGGCTTCCCAAAGCCCAAACCTTTTACAACGTCCTGCAGTGGAGTGTTTGTTTTGTCTCTAGTGTCCCCATAAGTGGAATACCATAGAACAAAATGGGACGGGACTGGGATGAGTTACCTTAAATGTTACCTAAAAAATTAGAAAATATTAAAGAGAACATGTTTTAAATGATATCATTTGATCTGCAAATGATGAGTGAAATATAGAATTACCTGCATCAAGGTAACACACACTAAGCAAATCT